ACGGCCCCATGAAAGTTTTTGGCGGGAAAATGAATAACTCCGGAACCAGGGAAGCTGAGAGGCTGAGACCTTCCATTTTTCCGCTCAGTATGTAAATATTTTTGTAATTAACACTTTCTTTACCTGGTAAAGTAACAGTACTGAAAGTGCTTGTACAACACAAAAACTGCTGCACACGAACTGAGGCTGAACAAAACCAGTTGATATAGGATAAACCATGCAAAAACGCATGATCGCTCCGGCCCCCCGGTGCGCGTCGCCAGTGATTATTTATGGCAATACTGAAACTCGGCTTTGCCCGGTTCGGCCGGCGTTATACACAATTTGTGAAAGATTCTTCCCTGCAGTTTATCGAAATTTAAGAAACCAATGAATTGCAGTCTGAATCCGCACTGTGAGTGGAATGCGCCAGTTGACATGTTTCTGGACGATGAGCTCCTCACCAACACCTACTCTAAGTGGCTATTTGGCCCGGATAACAGTGGCAACATTTTTAACTGGACCAATGAATATATCAGTTTTATTGCTCAAGAATTTGGGAAGTATCATTTAATTACTGCTGATGGAAGTGTCTATTGTCAGGTACGTTTTTTTTACCTTTTTTATCCGGAAATTTTTTCGCATTTCGTTGTCTGAAACAAGCAGGGGCAATGGAAAATGGCTTGAATATCAGTCAGTTTGTAATTACCACTGGAGAACATTCTAAATAATGAATTAGTGGTGAATTAGTAGCCTTCGAAATGTTCAAATTCGAACTAGTACCCTTTGCTCGCGCGACATTCTGCTTTCTTTACCACTTTGCTCGAAAAGCAAAAAAAAAAAAAATGGTTTCTTACTCCCTACGTGCTAGACTGATCAATACCTGTGAATCATTGAATTGAATGTTTTGAGAATATTGCACCATAAATTTTTTTTAATGTAAATATAAGAACATAAATGAAGTTTTTTTTTCGAATTCTTAGTATCAGGACTTTTTTTGGCCGTTTTTACCGAAGTGTTTTAACACAAACAGTCTGTGTGAGGGCAGTAATGCGTGCTATGATTATTGTCACTAGCTTGAACAGATAGATCACAGGTGGAGGCTTTGGCATTGCTTCACGTAGCCTGTACTTCCATTCCTGAACATTGAGAGCTCTGAATTTTGCGCTCGCATCATGAATTTAAAAAAAAAAATTCGAGTAAAATTTTGCTCTTTTGCCGTGAACTTAAAAAAATCCGAGCAAAAAGCCATTGTTTTTGTAGGAAATGTCATTTTTTGAAAGTTTTTTTTTGTTAGCCTTTTGCTTAACTGCTCAAGTCCTTATAAATGAGTGTATTTCGTGTTCTTAGGACAATCCGTTAGAGCAGGAACGCATCACTTTTCCACTGCTGCGAAAGCAAGTAGATTTGTCGTTGCCGCTACTCCGCGACAATGGGACGTTGATCATGAAAATGTACACATGGTTTCGTGAGGATACTCAAACACTGTTGTATCATTTATTTGACAGCTTTGCCGAAGTACATGTTGCGAAGCCGTCGTGCAGTAGACCTGGCAATTCTGAGGTTCGTATTTGATATCAGGCCTTTTTACAATTTTTTACAGCTTCTTGCATTGATAAATGGCGCTCTTCCCTCAAACTGAGGCCGCTGGTTCGAATTTGCCTGCCGGGAAAACAATCTCATAATGTATTTGTGCTGATGAAAAATTGATAATGGCGCCTTCCGGGACAGTCTGGAGATTCGTTGACATGCCAGAAGGCCTAGCTTCCTCCGGTTTACTTCATAAACAGGACTTAAAATGGGAGCTTTCGATAGCTCTGCTGATCAATAGTTGTTATGTTCAAACTGAGCTGCTGTTGACACCGAGACGCAGTAAGTGTTATTTTCGGTTAAGGAAAAATTGCGAAGGTTAGGAGAAGATAACAGCGATTATTTCGTTTAAATTTTTTTCATTATCATTTTAGGTTTATTTATTATGCGCTGGTTATCGTTTGAATGGGCAACTCATTGAGATAAATAATAGATATACCACTTATCGGACGGTTTGTTTTATTTGCACAAAATTATTTTTTATTTTTTAGGTTAGAACTTATGTCCTTAGCTAGTAAGTTAAAACTTATGTCCTTCTCATTTACAGGCTTTATTGGATTGCGCGAACTTCTTCATCAAGCATCAAATGGAAATGATAGGATTCAATTTAGCGACTTTCCATCGAATGCCTGTAATCTTTTAAAATTTTGTAGACTTATTGCTTTTGTGGAGGTATTTTTTTCTTTTTGATAATTTCCCGCAAACTTTTAGATAGACTTTTCACCAAGATTGCCGGAACGACTGTGAATTATTGTTGATTCATATTCGTTCCTTCGATCCTGCGATAAGTTCACTGAAAAATAACATAATATACCCTTCCACCACAGTGTACCTTTACTTCGTCTGTAACAGCTGGGAACTCTTCCACAGTTTTTTTAACTGAAGATGCAACAATTTTTGGTCAACCCACTAACTAACTTTTGTTGATGACCATGTTAAAAGCCGAAACTCTCCCCCTTATTCGTTCTTTCCATGAAGCTGAGGCATTCAGAAGTAGCTGGAGAGTATCATGTGCGAAGAGCAACCACCGGTCCGCTGACAAAGTTGTTTTTGACTCCCTCTTTCGAGAATTGCCTAGAGGCAGGGTGGCTTTGATTCCTTGACATATACCAGAACCAGTTTTCCACCGAAACGAATAGAAGAATTGTAGAGAAATTGGTTGTCCCACTGGCGAAGTCGAACCCTCGATCTACTGCACAATAGCAGCGTCACTCCTCGCTGCTCTTTATCCACTAGCCTTGTTGACGAGTTATCAAATTTTTCACTTTTTTTTGAAAAATTGGGAATTTCGAACGAGCCAGCTGGTTTTGCGTTTCAGGACTGTTTAAGAAATTTTATTGAGCAAAAGAAGCGTGAGGCAGCGGAATTCTATGAACAACAAATGGACTTGTCACATTTCAAAAAATTTGCCTCTAAGCTTTCCTCGGTGTCACTGATAAACAAAAACAGGTACTATTTGTGTTGCAACGTAGCGGACGAATTTTAGCACACATCTGCTCTGAATTATCTAAATCGTTCTCTTTTTTTTATATCAGATTCAAATTTCAGACGCAATCCATGGAAATTTTCCGAGCTAAGCGGGTTTATTGAAGGCTTAAGAGATATTACTATACAAAAAGCACTCCAGACTGCCGAAAATATAGTAAGTTAGCATCCAGTTGGGACTTTCTCGAGCGATTTTTGAATAAAACTATGGGTTTTTTTTTTCACGAGCGAGGCTTAAAGAAGGCAAGAACAAACTAGATTGTTGAGTATTAAATGCACAATGAGGGCTGCCAGTGAGGTGAAAGGATCCGTCTAAACACTTGTATTTATTCATGCAGGAGGCTCAGAATA